TTGGCAAAACAGTGCACAGAGGATCTCCTGCAATCCTGTGACACGGATGTTCCCGCTATTGCATTACTCGAGCTTTTAGACCTGTGTATGGAAACCAATTTTTCGTTCGACCAACAGTACTACCAACAACTGAAGGGAGACAAAATGGGGTCACCTATCTCTGGCTTCCTTGCCGAGATCACGATGCAGAAACTGGAGGCCACAGCTCTTCCGTTAGTTATTCCTAAATTGTGGTTGCGATACGTGGACGACACATTTGTGATCGTTAAAAAGGATCAATTAGAAACGCTCCACAACACCATTAACTCAACAATGCCGGGGATTAAATTTACACTCCAGAAAGAAGTTGACAAAAAACTTCCATTTTTAAATGTTCTTGTGCAGCGGAAGACCGACGGAACGTTGCGCACATCGGTGCACCGCAGACAAACCTATGCGGAAGTCATTCTACACTACGAGAGCAACCACCCCATTTCCCACAAACGGAGTACGGTCAACTGCCTGCTTAATCGGGCAAAAACACACTGCTCGGACGAAGAAGACTACCGACGTACTGATGATCGGTAACGACCGTGAAACAGCTGTTTGCGTCTGGCCTGTTGCACTCTTAGCGAGCTGCTCATGTATTATATGTGGTATGTGTCCTCTGACACAGCGTTCGTTGTCGCCAGTAGCAAGCTGGCGGGCGGGCAGAATGGGATCGAGTGAGATCCTAACCACAACAGTAAGAGTCAAACGCCCACTTGACATGCATATATATATGTATGCATAACGGCATTACCAACAAAGACAAGGGTGACTGGAATGGCCATTTCTGGCTTATTAGCCGTCGTCAGCCAGCCATTCCCGAGCCCGAAGTGTGGATCCCACGTGCCTCGAACTCGCGACCTGTTGGTTTGGATGTCCACGTCTCTACCCACCGGGGCACGAGCCCGTTGCCCTGTCGGTTTTCGATCGGCAATATACAATGGTAGGGGGCGCTCACCGATCGTTCATACGGAACTCACTCGTTCCGTTTTGCCTTCAGGGCTCTCTCTCGGGCCCAACCAGCAGCCGAACAGCGGCGCATGATATATAGGCAGAATAGTATTATTGACAAAGACAAGGGAGACTGGAATGGCCGTTTCTCGAGTGTGTTCCCTATGAACGATCGGTGAGCGTCCCCCTTCATTGTATATTCCCGATCGAAAACCGACAGGGCACCGGGCTCGCGGTCCGGTAGGTAGAGGCGTGGACTTCTAAACCAAAAAGTCGCCAGTTCCAGACTCGGGTGTTCCACAATTCGGGCTTGCGTATGGCTGTTGACGAAGGCTAATAAGACAGAAATGGCCATTCCAGTCTCCGATGACTTTGTAGGTAATTCTATTCTGCCTATATATCATGCGCCGCTGTGCGGCTGCTGGTTGGGCTCGAGAGAGAGCCCTTAAGGCACAACGGAACGAGTGAGTTCCGAATGAACGATCGGTGAGCGCCCACAACCAGTATATATATATATATATTGCTAATAGAAGCGAAGATGCGCGTCCCCGGACATAAATCAGAAGACAAGGCGATCTCGGGAACCATAGTTTTACTGTCCTGACGTTTCAAAAGCATACAAGCTTCCATCGTCGGAGGTGAGTGTGGTATCGCGCCTCACAGTATTTATAGGTGGGTGACAGTCATGTCAAGACGGGTTTTGTTCATACACACGAAGTCAGGGCGGCAGGGAGGAAGGGGCGGGTAGGGAGTCCTAGAGCGTCTTCTCGCCGGATGAAGGGGGAGGGGGCGGTGGATCAGCTTTAGTGGTCACCAGCGCATGCACACAGGGACTGTGGCGGACGGGGGGGGGAGAGAGGGTGACGGGAGGTACTCAATCTACATCGGGGGCCGGCGTCCCCTTGACCTGCTCGTAGGTCGTACCTTCGAAGGTAAAGTACGTCTTCAGGCAGAATCTAAGCAATTGGACGAGATGTCTCCGTTTTATCGTCACGCCCGTCTCGTCGTACTGACTCTCGAGCAGCTCGCTGACCGTTTCGACTGCCAGGTCTTGCGGAATCGAAGTGACAAGAGAAGTGACGTCGAATGACACCATGACCTCGTCTTCGGTAAGTCTCATCCCTTTGATCCGGTCCAGGAACTGAGTCGCTGAACAGACCGTCGTGCCCGCGACCGAGGTGAGAGACCTCAGGTTTCGGAACAGCCATTTAGCCAAATTGAATGTAGGTGCGCCGCGCAATGATACGATTGGCCGGAGGGGCACCCCGGCTTTGTGTACCTTTGGCAGTCCGTAAAAGCGTGGTGCGGCCGCGTCTACTGGCTGAATGGCCAGTCGTACCGATTTATTTATTGTCTTGCTGGTTTGCATGTCGGCGAGGGTCTTGTCCAGTTGCGTCACCAGCTTCCTCATCGGTTCATCGTTACATGGTAGGTACGCCTGTCGGTCCTCCAGTAGGGCATTGGCTTTGTGACTGTAGTCTGCCTTATCCATCACAACTTTGGAGCGCCCTTTGTCTGCTGGTAGAATCACGATGCTGGTGTCAGCCCTCAGTGTCTTGAGAGCACTCTGCTCGGCCTTGGTAATAGCTGCACGTGGTTTGTGCGCCATCGCCAAGGAGGTTACCTGCTGTCGAATGAGTTGCTTTGTTTCGTCGGATTCCCCGGTTTGTTTGAGAATCGACTCAACCGTGGCCACGAGATTGACCGGATCGGCGTCTGTGGTGTTAAAGCAGGCCTCATGACTCAGCGCTTTCATTTTTGCAGGGGTCAGCTGCTTAGAGGACATGTTGTGCACCAGGACTTCGTTCTCCTCTTGAGATGATTGGCTTATACTCTGGAGCTTGACCGCCAGCTCGGCATCTCTTGTTGCTCGCAGGTTTCTGGCCCGTTTATTAATCACTTGTTGTAAATGCGTGACTCCGTCCTCACCGATGAGTTCGACGCAATTTGTAACCGCCTGGCTCAAAACCCTGTTGTATTTACGCGGCCGAAGATGGCAATCTTGGAGAAGCGCCCGAATCATTCGCCTGCCATGTTCAGCCACCCACCGTTTCGCCAGACTTGTGTTCACCGGTGGCCTGTAGGACAGGCTCTTCGGAAGCACATGATTGTCAAGGCATCCGTGGAGGAATTGTATTTG